CAGCAGTAAATAAAAACTATAGTAGTATGTGAGAAAAAAAATTCTGGCAATGATCTCGCTGACTACTAAACAAGACAATTTAAAAGTTAATAGTATGCCTATGAAATAAACAGGTGGAAAAATTTTAATCTTTTGATAAAAATTTTAAACATTAAGCAAAAAGTAAGGATGATTAAGGAATTAGAAATTTGAGTACCAAAAGCAATTAAAAATAGAAATGCTGCCAAAGATTTTAAAGAATTTTGAAAACTATGTTCTGTCTGCCAATCTTCCACTAGCAAACCACTTGTCGACAAAGCCAAACACCTATCGAAGCCTCACGTTGCGGGTGCCAATTTATGTAACGCTTCCTTTCCGCAAAAAGTTCAGAAAAGATGGAATGCAATGAAGATTCCAACTTTTCTGCACAATCACAGAAAGGGGGTTACAATTAGCTTCCGGTAGCTCAGTCGGTGGCATGAAGACATCTACAGGCGTGTAGCTGTGTGTCGACCATGGCATGGCTAGAGGATAGAAGAACAAACAGAACACAAAAATTTAACAGATTTTATTTAACAAAAAAAAAAGGCATTTTCATTACATTACAATTTTACAAAAATAACAAAATAAGTTTTACATCTTTGGCGCTGCTATAACGCTATCGACTTATCTTTCGCTGGTCCATTTTTACTCGACTGAAGCCAGGATGGCCAGGGGCTTGAAGGGAAGGTCCCAGTTATGAGGGGTGACCTCCATATAGTGGCTTCACAACCAGTTGTAGGCGAAGTTAAAGGCGATGGCGCTGCCAAGGTACATGCATGGGTGAAAATATTGGCCAAGGCTAGGCAAAGTGAAAGGGAAAGAGAAAGGGGGTGGCCCCAATCATTTTTGTCCTATACGGACACACACTCTAGAAAATTCTAGCACATGGTGCTATATAACCTTGTGCTACAGAGAGGAAATTTCTAGCCGTTGTTCAATCGGCGGCTCAAGTGAAAAGGAAGCGCGAGGAAGATCGCAGATCAGGAACTCCGCATCAAGCGCTCCAAGCGGAAAATTTTCCAAGCAAAAAAGCTAGAGATGGGATTAATGAAATGATAATCGAGAAGTGATTTAATAAATACGATCGGACGGTGAAACCGTTACAATATTAACTGAACAAGAGTACGATTTTTTCGCGGTGACCGAAGCATGGCTGACTAGCAATGTACCTACTGTAGTTGTTAAAGTTCCAGAGAGTAAGTTTTATCGCAGTGATAGAGAAAGACGAGGGGTGGCATTGTCATTTATATTAAATCTATGTATCAGGTGAGACTTCTTGACTCTTGTATTGATACGAGCACAGTTATGGAAAGCATCTGGCTACAGGATATTCTTCTAAATAAAAATTTCGCATTGGTGTCATTTACAGACCTCCACCTAAGTCCTTTGGCGATTTTGCTAACGTATGGAACTCCATCCTGCCTTTTCTGCATCTGTCAGTATGATAACGTTTTAATATTAGGTGACATGAACTCAGATTTATCTAATGCCGACAATAATCTTAATGAATGCCTTTCGTGTTATGGTTTTTGCCGTATCACGAAAACTTCAGCCACTCTGATTGATGCAGTTGTTTCAAATACTGAAGGACTTTTTACGGGCACAATGGCTTTGGATGCTGGGGAAATTTCCGACCATCGACTTATATGTTGCTCGCTGGAAATTGCTGTCAAAAACACTAAGCAAAGTTTCATCACCTTTCGAGATCTAAAAAACTTTGATGAAAACGGATTTTGTGATGATTTAAGCTCAATTGTTTGGCATGACCTGATATTATTGAATGACATCGATTAAAAGGTTAATTTCCTTACAAGAAACATTCTTAACGTTTTTGATATCCATGCGTTGTTCAGAACGGTGAGAGTCAATAAGCGCCAGGCTCCTTGGTTGACCTTTCCGTTAAAGGTTATTCTGAAAGAACGTGATGCTGCACTTAGGAAATATAAATCCGATAAGATGGTATCGAGCTGGTTAAGCTACAAAGGAAAACGTAATTCTGCTCTTTCGGCAACTAGGCGCCAAAAAGCGCGTTACCTATCTTTCTTACAAGAGCATCATATGTCGAAAGAGCTTTGAAGAGCGTTAGATAACATAAGTATCGGTGGCGTTAATTCAAAGACAAGAACTGAAAGTATTCCGTCCCACCTCAATGACCGAAACGCTATAAACGATTATTTTGCATCAGCGTTTCATTCTGCTCAATCCGACGAAGCAACATTCAATTTTTATGACAATAACAAGTTTGTCAATCGGAGAATTTCCTTCACTCTGGTTGAGCCTACCACTTTCAAAACTGTTGTGAGGGGCCTTAAGTCAAATGCAAAGGGTATTGACGATATATATATTTTTATGATTAAGCTATCTCTCCCGATTATACTACCTTACTTGACCCATATTATTAATATGTGCTTTGAGAAGGGCTACTTTCCTAAATCTTGAAGAAGAGCACTAGTAACGCCAATACCTAAGGTCAGAAAGCCTGCCGATCTCTCGTATCTTAGGCCCATCAGGCTGTTGAGCGTTTTTTCAAAAATTTTGCAGAAAATCATCTATTTGCAAATCTTAGATTTTTTGGAATCAAATGAGATACTTCCAGTATATCAGTCTGGGTTTAGAAAAGCATACAATACTACAACTGTTTTTCTTAATTTAGTGGACAACATCATCAGGGCCCTTGATAAAAAAATGTGTTTGCCTTAGTCTCACTGGATTTCTCCATGGCCTTTGATATAATTGATCACGCACTGATGTGTGTGCTAAGCTAAAACTCTATGGTTTTGATGAAATAGCACTGCAGTTTTTCAAACCATACCTAACCTGCCGTACTCAGCGCGTCTCAGTTTCTGGAGTTTTGTCAAATGAGCACTTTATTACTTCTAGTGTGCCTCAGGGCTCAATTTTAGGACCATTGTTATTTTTAATTTAAATTCACAGCTACAGTCATATGCGGATTACACTCAACTGCTTTACTTCTTTTATCCTGAGAACCTCCAGACTGCTACAATGGAAATTAACGAGGACATTGACTCTATTTGCACCTACTCAGCCAATAACAAACTAACCATTAATGCTTCTAGATCTTCTGCAGTGCTGTTTTGTCCAAGTCACAGAAGATCTGAAGTTAAAGCTTCTTTGAGTATATGCATTAATAATCAGAATCTTCCTTTTTCTGAAAGTGTCAAGTCCCTAGGTGTGCTAATTGACGAAAATGTGCGGTTTCGTGAACATTTAAATACCCTCTTACAAAGAACTTACAGCCGTCTAAGAACTATGCATGCGAACAAAAATTTGATGAATTCTAAAGTGCGAAAGAAGTTGTGTGAATCTTTTGTGTTATGAATTTTTAATTATTGCAATCTAGTTTATCATCCTGGCTTAGATGTTGCGTACCATAACAGAATATCTGTTGTATAAAATAACTGCGTACGATTTATATTTAGTTTAAGAAAATTTGGCCATGTTTCGGATCGTTATCCATTAATAGATTGGTTAAAGATGACAGATTTAGTAAAATGCAATTACCTAACCTTTATACGTAAGTTGCTTGTCTCAATTTATTTACGTGAAAAACTAATTTTTAGGTAAAATGTTAATCAACGATCTATCCGTAACAAATCCTCTTTAACAATGCTCCTCCATAGTTCATCTCTTTTTAACTGGTCCTTCTCATATAATGCATGCTTGTTGTAGATTATAGAACAAAAGGCCTGCCTCTGTATAGTTTTAGAAAGCATTTAAAATCTCTTCTGCTCAATGGTGCTTCTTAAATTATATGTTTATGCTAACATTTGTTTTAGTTTCATGCGCATTTTCTTCCGTTTATTTCATTTACAGCTGTACTTTTCTACCACCAATTATTTTTAAGCAGTAAATGGTTAAGTGTAAGAATAGCTGTAATAGCTGAACTTCGCCATTAAGCTGCTCACTAATCTAATTAAGGTAATATGCATTATCTGTAATTTGTTTAGATCGCAGCGGTATTGAATGAGTGGGACTATAGTCTAATTGTATGAGTCTGTCTGACTCACTTGATCCATTTATTTTTTCTTGTTATACGAGATCGTTGGTAAATTTTTACCTTATAATAATAATAATTAATTTGTGATCTGATCACATCACTGTGTGAGAAGTGCTAACCTCAAGCAGACCACAGCTACAAATCGTGAGAGAAGATTTCAGTTGTACCAATGTTTATAGTAACCAATTTGGTTTCCAAGTAGCTTTTCTATGACTATTTGCCATCATTGGTGTTATTTTATAGGCTTCCAAGTCATGATCAAATATGTAAGAGCTTTATGGCCAACGGCTTAGGTGCGTTGAAATATCTCTACCATGAAATATGACTAGATGGTTCAGCTCAGACTGGTGGTGAAATACATGCTTAAATAGTTGTAATTATCAACAATACAGCAACCTTTGATTGAAATCTTCCATAACTGCTTACAGATCCTGGTAATTTCAGTAAACCGTTGGCAATACGGGTTTCTAATCTAACAACAATGCGGAACGCTGCATAGCTGTTTCACATAAATCGTCGTATAGTTCTGGTCTTTTCATTAATTTATCTATACTTGTGCCACCACGCAGGCCTAAAGCTAAGATACCCGTGGGAAGCGAGCGGGTATAAGGGAAAAGGGGGGACGTCGCACGAACTCTAACGGCGGAACACGTGCGCCACGATTGGCACACTGAAAGAAAAAGAAGAGAAAAAATTGAATTCGAACCCGCAAAGCTCACTTCCGGCGGCAATAGTAGTAGTCGGTAAGCTGCGCTTAATAGGCATGTTGGGCATATTAGTAAGAATACCAGGCTGGTATTTACAAAGCGTACAGAAAATCAGAATAAATGGAAATTCTTATTCACAGCTCTTACTTTTGTTCCATATTTTCACGTCTTAATTCTGTACAAACACGCATATAATATACCTACCTTTCTTTTTCTCTATTTATAGATAATTGGTCTTATTTATCGTTTAATAGATAAAGGCACGTCTACAGGAGGAGAGAGAACGTCTCCGCAAAGAGAACCTCCGTATCCAGGAGCAGCTGAATAAGGAATTGAAGCTGCAAGCGAAGCTAAAACACCACATGTACAAGCATAAGCCCCCACCCAAATATCCGTACATCTCCAAAACACACATTGTACCACCACCATCTGGGCTCCAACCTCCCAGGATTCTGACAACCTTAGCGGATCCCCCAAGGGTGCAGTCTTCACATGGAGAACCCCCACCGTCCTTCGAAGAGCCTCCAAAACTGCCAGTACCCTTCACTGAACTACCCGTAAAGGCCGCAGGTGCATTTGCAGAGCCTCCAGCAGGTGCTGCCGCTTCATTTGCTGAACCACCAGATGGTTACCAAGTGGAGGAAGGGGAGGGTTTGGTCAGTGTAGGGGTTGTAAATACGGCTGGGCTCAATCCAGATCTACAAGCGACTAGGGTAGCTCAAGGTAAGGCATGTGTATATAGGTTGTTTCCTAAATGAATGTCGGAGGCCGCGTTTGGGTGCATCTGAAGAAAAACGTATACCCTAAACTTCTTAACTTTTGAGATACGGTGTGATATAGTTGTGACAAAAAAACACTAATTATTAATATCTGTAATAAAACATATTTTATTCAAATTTGGCAAACAAGAACTATGTCACAAGAAGCATTTTTAATGTGCACATTTATTTTAATTTCCATCAGTGGCATTCGTACGAACTTTCAACTGCCGATTTGGGCAGACATTGACCATTTTTTGGCAAATCACCTTCAACGCATGATTTTTGCTTAACAAAATGAAATCTCTGCACGATCATAACGATATCGTTATTATGAAAATTATTTCTCCGCATGTAATGGTGATATTGCCATATTAGCGATATTGTTATCATGATGCAAAGAAACTGTTTTTTTTTTTGTATTGAAATACGTATATCGCCAAAGGATTGAAATGAATCAAGCATTGAAATTTGCTTCGAGATGAATTTAAACTTCAGAAAGATTGCTTTTCAAGATTAATCAGGAGCGTACCATCAATGTCTGCCAAAATAGGCCGGTGAAATTTTTTACAAACGCCCCCGGTACACATCAAAGAAAAGATGAAGTAAATTAAAAAATGCGTCTTGATACATAGTCATGTATGCCAAATTCCATTTGAATGTCAAAAGGGGTATTATAGGTATTCATAGAATAAATAGTTTTCTTTTAAATTTTACCACCCGGTATCTCCATTGTTAAGATGTATTCCGACATAAGTTCATATCAAGTCTCTCTTCTTAAAATGGACCAAAAATTACCGCTAGAAATATTGAAATTCAAAAAGGACCTCAACCAATTTTCGTAAACATACTTAGAGTCGATTTTAATTTGTATTTAAAACAGAATCCTGTATCCTGTACGAGACCCCAGACAGGTACCTTTTTAGAAATCGATTATATAAGGTGGAAGATAATTTATGTACCTAACTCTATGTTTTAGAACATGTGGCCAATATCAGGCATTCATGTAAGAACTCAATGAACAATGTTACGAGCTCAAAAAAATTGTTTGCAAACAGATACCACCTCTGTCTAACAACTCTGCTGGCTGTGATTGCAGTATTTCAATGAAGCCGTGCCAGCCAAACTAGATACCTACTTTCTGACTTATTACTTAGGGCTATCAGTAGTGAGGTCTGACTTTAATTATATTAGGTTTTCTGGCGCGGGGTGCATCGCAATGAATAAAATATTTATATTCTTGAAATGATCAGGCTGGCGTTCAGAGCGTTAGTAGCTCTGTAATAAGTAGTTTCCAGATAAATGGAAATATTGTTAAAATGTTCCATACGGCGTTCACCATTTCTTGGATTTTAAAATGGGATAATCCCAATTGGCCATGTCGAAAATCGCCGCGTCATGCGCAATTACGATAAACTGATCGTAAAAGCCGAATGGTGCATTTATGTCAGATAAAAACAAGTCTTGCCATAAATCTCGGAAACTATAGAATAATTTCTGGCCTAGACGACCTTATGTAGATCAAACCGCTTTGGAATTTGAAAAAAAAGGGTTCTCTTAAATTCTAATATGCCTGTTATGTATCTGTCATCTAAATCTGGAAGAAAATCTACCTACTATAAGAAACTCGTTACAAGTCAGACGTCAAAAGCAAAAATACAAGAAAAAGTTGTTATGGTGCATTGGCCTGCATTTGTCATCTTTTATGCAAAATTAGAGAAACGGTTACACTTAGGTATAGGGTTATATACACGAAACGTATTTAGAAATTTATGTAGAGCTCTAAAATTTAATAATATACGGGGTAGCAGCAGCTCAGTTTAATACGGACCATCTGGCAAGGCCTAGCAATACAACAATACTGGATTTCCCCGTTCCAAATATATATTCTAAACCACAAAGTACCTATAAACAGACCATAACACACAATTTAAATAGATTAGTCACTATTTGACACACTATGATGCTTAGATGTTAACGAGCCATGCAGTTTTATGGATGCAATAAAATATATTATTGTGAGGTCATTGCCCAGTCACAGCCGTATATTTATTTAAGCAGAAACGAAAATTAATGTTTCTCAGAATGCTCTAATGTAGCAGGCCTGTGAAGAGAAAATTTATAACAATTATTCTAAATAACGACCATTTGAATGAATATCTTTGAACACAATTTCGGAGTAAAAAAGCCTACTGGTATTTGCTAATTGCTACTAATATACTTTTTTCCTGTTCAAAATCTACTCTTTAATGTAAAGGATGTGTATATATGAGTAAAACGCAAATTGTTCAATTTTCAAGCCGAGAAGTAGCGAGAACCAACGGTGTGTGTAGCTATTAGTTTATTAATAGCTTCAATTCACCTCCATTAACTCAAAGTTACATTTTCCCATTTGGTTAAGTACTACGCTCATGTTTAAGTCTCGGGTAAATCACATGCTCACGTGAAACTTCCTGGAAGATGCCTTTATTTGGCGCTTTGCTATACCATAAGAATCAGAACGATTGTTCACCATAGAAGTGATCCAGTCATCAACATGGAGCATAATGCAAGCACTAATCATCAAACAAGAGCAGTAATTCCATATAGCACATTCACGGCACTATAACTTGCTTACGATTTCATTTGCAGCAATAATGAAGCTGAAGCAGCAAGCAATTTCTCAACCTCAAATCGCTCTCAACTATCCCTCAAGCAACGAACTGCAACCTCAATTGCCTCAATATACCCAGGCCGTCATACCTCAACACGTGTCTCCCCAACAGACACCTATAGACAGAAAGAACTTCGACGTTGCTGCGGTTAGTTCCATTGGAAACCAGCTGGAAACCAAGAAGGTTGAGGTTGGGAAACCTACGGCAAGGCCCTTAGAGCAAGCCATCTACCAAGCGGCCTCTATAACCTATGATCCCTTCTATAGTCCGATATTGGAACAGATCGACAAGATTTTGGGTGAGCTGCAGTTTACAGAGGAATCTTGCAAGGAGAGGCTCATCTGCAGTATGTATAAGTGGCCGCAGAAGTTTAGTCCACATAGTAATCTGGTTTCAGCTGAACTTAGTAGGTTAGTATGTTTGTGCAGTAAATACATTCTTCAAAAAAATGTGTACATAATTGTCTAAAAACCTTTAAAATGATATCAATGCCGTTGGTTATGGATACATGGTGGGCCAGTAGTGCGTGGATGAAGTGTCGTTTCTGGACAAGGGCTTTCAAAACATTTATTCTTTTAGATTCCACATCGAACAATAAAATTCGTATATCACGGTTGTATTTTTTGAACTATACTTCAGCGCATATTAGGACAGGATCTTCTACAATAAGTTTTGATTATCAGTTGTTGAGTTACATTCAGTTTAAAAAAGACAATAATCTCAACAAGGAGCTAGTTTGCAATTTTTGTGTCAAACCGTTCTCTTAATCTACCTTTTATTTCAATAGTTTTCGGAAATTGCAGGCTTAATTAATTTTTCTTCAAGAAGCTTGGAGCGTTATGGATATGCTTACATTTTCGACTCTATTGATTCATTATAATCTTTTTTGATGAAATGGTCAACGGAGTTTGGATAGATACTTTTTGAGATAATTAATAAGTAATACTAGAATATTTTCGAACGCCACGAACATTTTATCTCATGCTGTGGCAATATATACAGCAATAGCTTCATCTGCAATGAATTTAGCACATTTTCTTATTTTGAGGAATTGGGACTCTTAGTGTGAATATTTTGTCATTGGAGTCTAACAAATAACTGAAAAAAAAACGATCACGGTCAGAATTCTCTGAAGAGAAGGGAAAGTTTTGCAAATGTCTTCAGAGCTCGTTCTTCGAAATGACACAATTGGGAACTTTCTATATTCAAATAAAAGCTAATTATCTACAAAAAACCTGTATGTTACGGACTGACTTCTGACTTCTGTGTGAGGCGATTCATCCGTGACAGAATAACTGACACATTTGACGGTTATTTTTATCTGAATTTTGGTTATGTCATCCCAAAACAATATGAACACAAAAAATATAGATATTTTGAGTATATTGTAAATGGCTGAGGGGTGGTACTTTAAACAAAGTGTGAAATGTTTCTGTCGGTCCGCGATGTTATTGGCTGCTGACACTGCATCCGTTTTAGTCATGTTTGTTGCAAACCTTGTGCTCAAGCTCTGAAATGTATACCTAATTGCTGTACCTTGCTGTTGTGTTTGTAAATTTCATGTCTTGAGTAGGTGTGAGAATTAGCTAATCTATGTAGTAGACTTAAACTATGTCTCATCTCAGTTATTAATATTGGTCAATCATATGTAGTTGATACAAGCGGCCACTGTCAATATCAGATAACTGCTTGTTACAACTAACAGCAGTGTCCAAACAATTCACGCTGGATTTGACAATGTCAGTCCGTGGCGATGTGCTGGACCAAAGACTGTATCATTGAACATCAACTGCTGCTCATAACGCATATGATTTGGATCCTAAGTAGGAATAATCAGGCCACCCCAGTTCATGGACTGACATGGAAAACCAAAGCTCTATAAAATATCTGACTTCATAATGATGTCATTATCAAATATAGATAATACGGAGATGTTTGATGAAGGATATAGGCTACAAGCCTTATCAATTATCTAGTATAGCGCTCTATGTCAATTGCGTTTACTTGTTCAGTATACGCCACGATCTAGAATACTATATTTGAGGACTTCTGGGCAAAAGCAGCGGGGTGCCGGGATATGTTGCGCATGAAGACATTAACTACTTCAAGTCGTCAATATACCCAATTCTAATCTCAATTACTCTACGTAAACACAAACTTGAGCTCTCTATCGCCGTACACCTTTAATTACCAATCTCGGAACTATTATAATGAGCCTAGGAGATTTTTGTTTATTCGCTCTCTGATAATATATAGATTAGTAAACAAGGACCCAGGAAACCGTATTGTACTAAATTCTGTAGATATCAAACAGCAGCCTATATTTTGACCAGGCTTAGCACTGTAAGGCGGTGATAAAAGTTGATATCAACTGTGACAACTAGAGAGAAAGTAAAGAGCAGCTATCTATTGTGATAGGTATAGCTGAGAAATTTCTGCATTTGCTTCCATGCCGCTTAGCAACTGATCTGTAGACAGTAAAGTCTATTCGTTGACTAATTTGAGAACCAAACGTGTCTCATAGCCCTTCAATAAATAATGCATGTATGCGTGTTTCAATTTATCATTTTCCCGAAAGGAAAGGAAAAGAATGTCCCGGTTACCTACTATACCACAGCCTGGTGTTCGAAAGCGATAAAATAGCTGTATCAGTGTGTGTTTCCATTACCACTTCGAGATGGCTGCGTTTATTTTATTGTTTTCTTTACGTAGTTGTAAAACCAGTATCAGTGACGGAAGTTGGCGCGCTATTTGTAACTGGTGTAGTTCGTACGGACACTGTTCGGCTTAACAATCACAATGTGTGAAATATGAACAGCAAACGAATAGTGAAAGGCTTGGACTCCAATGACGCTACCTAAGATTTGACTTTTCATAGAATTTAAGTTGAAACTGTTGAAGACACTTGGAAGAAATTACTATAAATCCTGTAGTCATATGCGCTGGTGTAGAATGAGTAATGACATCTATACAAATAAATTGTTCAATAATTTATCTATAGAAATCTGATAATAGTGACTTGGTTTTGAGCAGAAGCTATCGCAAAGTTTTCCTGTTCTCTATATTTCATCATTTTGAGCTATACGAGGGATGTCTTTTAAGTTTTGCATATGGAAATAAAACAACACGGTAGGTAGTTTTAAATGACTTTATTGTTTTTCGAAGTATTCTCCACGAAGATTAATACACATCTGCATGCGCTCGAACCAATTTTCGAAGCACTTATTCCACTCGCTTGCTGGCAGATCCAAAACGGCATATTTGAATGCGTCAACTGCTTCTTCTGGTGACTTGAACCTTTGTCCACGCAGTCTGTTTTTAATTTTCGGGAAAGTAAATAAATCGTTAGGACTTAGATCGGGACTATATGGAGGATGGTCCAATAATTCCACGTTTTTTTCCGTTAAATACTGCCTTGTTTTTTGGGCTGTGTGCCAGCTTGCATTGTCTTGGTGGAGGATGATTCTTCTTTCGGGGTTGATTTTTCGAAGCTCGGTGATGACTTTTGGCAAACAAATGGTGGTATACCAATCCGCAGTAACAGTTATTTGCTCATTAAGAGGAATTGTTGCAATATGACCCGCGACCATCTTTTTTGAAACACTTCGAGAACGGATGACTTTTGTTGGCTTTTCTTCACCTTGGAACACGACTGACGTTTATTTTCTGGTTCATAACAGTAAATCTACGATTCATCACCACTAACAATGCTGAACATATTTTTTGATTTTCCGGAATTGAAACGGACAAACGTTTTTTGGCACGAATTAACCCTGGCTGCTTTCTGCTCTTCTGTGAACAGGTGGGGTGGTATCCAACGGAAAACTAATTTTGTTACTACTAATTCTTCAGGTAAAGTTTTTTGAATTGAGGTCTTTGAGATCTTCAAAGACGCCTCAATCTCGCGATATGTCACATGTCTATCTTCAATGATTAGTTTGCGCACAGCATCGACGTTTTCCTGGATGACTGCCGTTTTTGGTGCACCCACCCTGGGATCGTCGCTAAGACTCACCCGTCCACGTTTGAATTCTCCATACCAACGGGAAATTGTCGACTGATGTGGTGCTTCGTTGCCGAAAACAGACAGTAACTCGGCAAGGCATTTTGTTGCGATAATTGTCTCTGAAAGTTGTAATAAATTATGGCGCGAAAATGTTCTCGGTTGAATTCCATTTTTCTAATGACTTGGTGACACTTAAAAATTCACTGTAGTGAGAACACTGCACGTATTATTGTGAAACTTTGAATTTAGGATTACTAAAGAGTGAGGTTAAGCTTCAGTACTGACGTTCGATCCTCGCGGCCTACTATGTTTCTACACGCAAAATTTAAAAGACATCCCTCGTAAGCCTAACTCAAGTTTGACTGAAATAGATCCGCTGAGTTTATATTAGCTACTTGCAAAATACCTCTCTCCATCACCCTTCTGCTGTTGAACTGTATGAAGAGATTTTTTTTATCTAAGCGCATTATGTAGTGAATTGCATGCTACAATACCACAGCTTAGAAATATTTTGAGACTCAACTGATTTATGTCAGTGTGACATTACAACGAGCGTGCATTTTGGCGGAAAAATGCTCTTACCTAATAATTTCAAAGTGCTACTTCCTAGAGTTCTAATATGTTACTTCATGTTATTACAGAGTTCGATTGCAACTCGTTTATTTTTGAAACAGTCTGAAAACTGTCCAAGTTTTACCATTTTTTTTTGTAATAACTTCTTTATTGATATATTGATTGCCAGTAGCTTCGCACCAGTAGGTCTGTAATACAGAGCAGCACGGCTATCGTATAAAATATTCTTTCTTAAAAGATCAATTTAATAAATATGAGAGGAGGAGGATAGTCTCGGAGGACTAGTTGAAATACATGTGCGAAGGTCAGCCACAACAAAAGAAATTCAGGCCTCAAGGAAAGGTTGTCCTCGGTACAGGTCAATATTTCCAGAATGTTCATTTATTGCACCAGGATGTACTGCAAAGTATGCTATATCTATTACAATATCATAGACAAAATTACTTACAGTTTTGAAATCCTTTAGCGAACATTAATAACGCACAGGCCAATATACTAAAATACTTCATGAGTTGAGTATATTTTATACTCGTATCCATAAATATTTGATGAGAGAAAACTTAAATGAGAGTTACAGTCAATTCAAAAAAGAATTCGGCGTACCCCATAACGAAGATGTAAATTTTGGAAAAAGGATCCATCAATTATTGCGCATAATTTTGCTACGTTACTAAAATCAAAAAGTGAACGGACAACCAAAGCCATGCATGGAACGTATTCGGAAAGGTAAGAGTAATTTCTTAGAAAACTCGCAAGAAACTGCTGCATTTCAGTGCAATCATTGTACTTTTGTCGAACTTTTCTGTGTAATTCCGGCCTCCTTTGGCTTCATCATTTTCTTGGTAGGATATGTAGACTTGGGCTAGAGACCCCGATGATTGAATAGAAGCGAAACTTTCAGCGCATTCACTATTTATTAAAATACCTGAACAGAAAACATCAGATACTGCAGTCAGAGCACTCACGGCCGGCCCGAATGTTATTACGAGAGCCACGCTATATATTTTGAGATACACGAAAACTAAAAACTATTTTTCGAAAACTAGTTTATTTATGCTTAAGGTATTCTCCTCCATCATCAATGCACTTCTGCAACCTGACCTTCCACAAATGAAATGCTTCTAGCCAGTCAGTTTTTGGATTGCCTTCAACAAACTGATTAATTGCTTGATCGATGTCTTCTTCGGACAAACATTTTCGACCACGCACATTTTTTTAAAAATTCTTGGAGAGCCAGAAGTCACACAATGCCAAATCTGGCGAATAAGTTCTAGCATTTTGATGTGGCGCTGGCGCGAAAAGTCTACAGTTAGTTAAGCTAGAGGCATTGTCGTGATGCAGGATTATACCTCTGCAACAACTTTTTTGAATGAAGATGATCATGCAAAATGTTGTGCACTGTTGCAGATCGTATCCAAGAGTTGCTATAGAAGTCGCATCCGTGCAGCGAGAATCTTCTTCAATTAGCCGCTGAACTTTAGCAATGTCTTCTGGAGTCACACTAGAACATGGCCTTCCACTAAATTCTTAATCACCCAATGCTCTTTTAAATTCAGCATACCAGCGAAACACACTTGTCCGGGACGGAGCTTCATAACCAAATGCCTGTTGTAACCTTTCGATTCATTGATGTTCAGTTAATCCGAATTTAAGCTCATGGTAAATCATAGCGCGATAACTCTCTCGAGACAACTCCATGTTTCTGTTAAATTTGTTTACACCACGTGCACTATAAGACGCTTGCAAATGAACTGAATGCGGCGACTTACTAATAAAGGACTGCTCTTTCTAATAGTGCACTGTTACCGGTTTTAACTAGTGTTAATGCGCATCTCAAAATATACCCCCTCGTACTTGTGCCGTGACGTGAAGCTCAAGATGACGTTCTCACTTGTCTGGCCAGATTCAGAGAAAAGAAAGGTTAAGCGGATGTTTAATTCATTTACTTTACGTAATTGTGCCATCGATTTCAACGTTAATACATTATAAGATGAGCATGCTATAAATCATTTGCTTTTGTTATACTCAGCTGCTCCTCAGGTAAGAATCGAAGCGCTATAATTTTTACAGGGTTTTGAGTCCAAATGCTTTTCACATACTTTGTCTACACGGATGTAAAATCTGATTTCATCGGGGCTAACAAACTTGGGTTTCAAAATAACTTCATGTAAAACAGAGCCATCACCGCCTTATGAACATATAAACATATCAGACCAAGCCGTAAAATTTCCTCCGTGATAGTGTTTAACGCTTATTGGACTGGACAATTCCTTGCACACATATTATCTGGTATAATTTTATATGATATATATGCTTAAATTGTTTGTGTTTCATAGCGTGTTTCCATTTTTCAGGGATCCAAACGAACTAAAAAAACCAAAGTCGACGAATGCAGCTGTGATACGATTCTACAAATACCTTCAGGCGGCGAGAGATGGTCAGAACCAAAAGGATTGCTTGAAACTCTACCCAGCATGCTCCATAAATACAGAACTTTAAAGCAGAGAGCACTTACACGAAAAAATTCTCAGTTGGCGGACTGTAAATGCGGAAGAACTTACTGAACAGTAATAAATTCATTACTAACGAGCCTAGCATGTCTATGCAGCTAGTAAAAGACTCCGGTATCTGAAGGGTTATGTATGTTAGGCAGGAGAAGGGCGACGAATCCTTTGTCTTTGCTTGGTTGATAGCTGGGTAGTATGAATATGTATCTGTAAACTGTTAGAGACTTCGGGAGTCATACTAGGAAGGATAACTGTATTTCGTATTTTTACCGAACAAGTCACCAGTGCCAAAAATCCTTGAACGCTCAAGATAGTGCAAAGGGTATACGAACAATTAGTTGAATCATCTTCAGTGAATATTGATTTTTCAGTGTTCATGTATAAGCCGCGACTCGTGATTATTCTAAGATTTTAGTAAATAATGTTGTCGTAAACAAATAATATCAATGATATTTATATGTATATTCCATATCAGGGCTTTAGTTTTGTTTGACTCACTATTTACAAAACACACCCCAAAATAAAGGATATACAGAACAATTCTGCGAAATCGGTAGCAGTGTTTGGCAAACGGATCTGCAACATCGGGGTATCGGTGAGGGGAAAGCAAAACATGGCTGGTTTCATTCATAAAATGCCAGCGGCGTGCGGTATTTTATAAAAGTTTGGGATTATTTCATAATTGGTTTAAATTTAGTAAACTACTTATACGTTTATGTTTCACTTTAAATTTGGGAAGTATCTCAATAAGCCCACAATGATATGGAGCATTGTCCATAATAATAAATAAAGTCTCGGGTAAACTCAAAAATAGCTGTTCTCTAGAGTCTACACCATGTAAAAAAACACTTGAGTTTGTTTCTACACTTCAACAAACGGAAAAATGTCTACTCACTTCCCAAAATTGCCACAATTCAAAAAATCATGATAACTGCGCGATTTAAAACATAATTTGAAAATCAAGCTAGCGTTTTTGTCAAAGCCGTAAATAAAATATATTTTTCAAATACAAATAGATACTTAACGTGGTTGTTTACCTTGAGAATATATATATACATACATATATATATATACTTTTTTTAATTCTCTCTAGCTTTCAATGGACTTTGCCATCATCATCAGGAGCTGCAATTACAATGATAACAGTAGCAACAAAAGTGTAAAATGAATTTAAATTGACTCAACTTACAGTAGTATGTGAGGATGTTGCTAATTGTTGTTTACGTATAGGATGAGGGAAACGTCAATTAGCAACATCCTCACATACTACTGTAAGTTGAGTCAATTTAAATTCATTTTACACTTTTGTTGCTACTGTTATCATTGTAATTGCAGCTCCTGATGATGATGGCAAAGTCCATTGAAAGCTAGAGAGAATTAAAAAAAGTATAAAGAGTCCTCTTTGCTTAAATTTTGTCGAAGTACCCAACAAAAGGCGGAAGCTTTAATTTTTCACCTAACTGGTCTAGACGACAATGACCACGTCTCAAAAAAAAAAATATATATAATATATATATATGTATATTATACATCCGTGATCTTATAATATGCTCATTTACTTCAAATTAAAAAGTGCCACAAGCCGAAACATGACCAGAATTAATTTTTATTTTATAATCCGCATCTTTCTGGAATAGAAACAAAGAACTTTAAACATATTTCATATCCGTTTAAATTATAACCTCTGTAATAAATAATACTTACATTATACAGCATTTCAAAATTACATTTCACCTATTGAATTAGCAGTGGTGTTCGTCAACTTCATCATTATCATCATCGTCACTGTCGTCATCAGTTTCGCTGTCGTCATCTTGCCCTATAGTTATTATAACTGGTTCGATTTCCTCGATAAATTGATCATTTTCCCAAAATTTATCTTCAATGTCCCTAACTTGTTGACAAAATTTCTGCCAATCACTAATGGATATTAAGGACATCGCTTCCTGAGTAACTTCTTTCAGTGCGGTTAAACTGAAGTTTCCAGTGGTATTGCGGCTTCTTATATGAAATTTAAGCTTTGCCCAAGCTAATTCTATTGGGTTTAGCTCGCATAAATAAGGAGGTGTTCTTAGAGGAGTATGTCCATGTGATCTTATGATCCGATCAACTACATAATTTTTTTGGTTGTCAAGGGGCTTATGAAGTAAGACCAGATCGAACAAGTCAAATTTTCTGGCAGTTGCCTCATGATTTATGCCTATAAAATATTTTATTGTATAGTTTGATATGTACATGCATGTTTTGAGTCATAAGTACCTTTCTTTGTCAACCAGGCCATTATATCTTTTTTCGAAGATGATTTTGTCGGGGTTCTATCTTCCTGGACGGAATGATATGGAGCATTGTCAAATACTATAGCCGAATTGGCAGGTATATTCGGGAGGAGTTTTTCGGTGTGCCAGCGTATGAAATTTTCCCGATTCATCTGACCGTGATAATCGCCTGTAACTAATCCGCCTTAAATATCAAACAGGCATTGTCAACAAATCCATTTTCTGAACCTGCATGCACTATAATGAGTCGACCTAAAATATACAAGACGATTATATAATATGTTACAAATCAGAGTTAAATTTAACATATATATATATATATATATAGCATTTCTGTTTACCTGTAGAACCTATACTGCTTATTACACCAGAAATAGTTTCGCTCTGCCAGCATTTTTTGAAAGTCAAGTCATTGTCCACCCAGGTTTCGTCCAAATAAACAATATTGCGCCCTTCTTCACGATATCTACGTATTTCACGGATGTATTTGTACCTCCATTGCAATATATTAGGCCTCTCCATCAAAACTTTTCTTTTATTTTGACATTTGCGCCAAAAAAAACCATTTGATTTTAATAAACTCCTGAGTGTTTCCCTAGAATAGGGGAAATTTGAGTCTTCTCGCAACTTTTGTACTAACTTCCTAGTTGTCGGGACAACTTTATATTCAAGATAAAATCTGTTTATCAAATGTCTAATAATCTGAAAATCAAAATCTTCATCTTTCTCAACAAGAGACTGACGCTGTCTTTTTTTCCCGGGATTGGATAACATTTTATTGGGGTTATTTTCTAGTATTTCTTTATCTTCGTTATGTATTTTCCTAACAGAAGATACTCCGACTCCGGTATAAAGGGACACCCTATCAAGCTTACGTTTAAGCAGCAACTTGAGGGAATTGTTTGCCGCTTCCTCAACGCAAACCCTATAAATAATCTTTAGAATGTTAGCTTAGCATTTCCTTGTTTTTTATTTATATTCAGACTCAGTCGTCAAAAACTACAATTATTGCATATTATTATTACTAACCTATAAACATTCGCAATCACTTCTCTTGTTTGGCTGTGAAGCGCCTTTCCGCGAGTAAATTGGTTCATTTTAAAAAATAATACTAAAACGAATAACAATAACAAATAACAAAACACTAAACTATTCAGAAACACACAGCACTAAACATGCAAACTTAATAGAACAATAAATAGTTAACAATAATAGTTGTAAAACTCATACACGACAATCAACGGAGATAAAACCTACGCCACTGGACTTTTCAATAGTATGGATATTCTAAGAAAGGAGCAAAAAATTGTCTGGGACGCTACCCAATAGGGAGTCGAATTTTTTCATGGCGACAAAACATGTGAGGATATCCGTCAATCAGATTCGTTCAGGCGGTGTCCAATATACCTTTCGGATGGTCGTTGCCAGCTCAACCGATGTCAATAAGATCTTTGGAAAAATGTTTACTTATAATACGATTCAGTAGTAAAAAATGGTTGTTAAATACAAATCGAGCTAACAACCCATTAAAATACTCAGTATTTTGAATTATTGTTTTTTGGAATTGTGAAAAATCGATTTTCAAATCATTGAAATTACTTCATTATTGCTTTTTAGTAGTTAAATTTGGCAATATCGAATATTTTCGGTCGCATTCCTTTCGCTGTTGCAGATCCGTTTGCCAAACTAACCTTCCCACTAGGTATACTATGTCCTCGTCTAGTAGTCTTATGGTAAACATGGATGATGGACAGTTTTGAGATATGGGAGGTCAAAAGGCAGGATTCAGGTGCTCGCTGGTTTTATAATCAAGATACTTCTGTTCATCCCAAAAACTGATTGTTATCAATATTTGTACTTACAAGGACCTTAAAGCAGGATTTCAGAATATTATACATGTCAGCTAATTCAACTATATCCCCTTGTGCATACTTAATGTGACGAAACTTTTTTAGCAACTATAATTCAGAATGTCATTAGGTACACTGGATTTACTTTTCAAGTGATTCTTCTTTGTACCTACTTTCTACTTATAATGCGAAAGACAATCACTTGAGAAGTAGGGCTCATTTGGTTAATATTTGGTAGTATAGGAGTCATGGTAGTTATAGTGCTCAAAACATTGAATTGTGAGGTTTTCTAGTTCAATTAGGTTTACATTGTAATTTATTATGATTTGTTGTGTGCAGTGTGAGTTGAGATTCTTGTTCCATCATTATTTATTATTTATTTAATTTATTCACATATTGTATATACTATGTATAAGAATTGTTGGTTAATAAAATAACATCTGTTAGAAACTGAACTTCAGTATCTTGCCTAAAGGTTGACTCAACTGAACGAACATTCCCTTCATAATCACATTATAGTGATATAGGGATCATAAAAATAACTGCCCAACCCCATATTCTTTAATATTAGTAAACTATACTGATAAAAGCAAGCAAACAGGCTATAGCAAAATACATCAGCATTCTTGCTGCAGATAATCACTGGACAAATCACAATTCTGGATGACAATTGCAGTCCATACACGAGCCATATAGTCGTACTATATATTCCTATGATAAGATATGATGGAAAACAGAACTGTCGATCCTTTCTCTCTTCCCTCTTCCAGTTATTTGACAGTGAAACACTTGTCACTACAGCACGACAACAGTACACACGAATATAATTCCATTCATTTTTCTTGTGATGGAACAATGAGGTTTCGTGACGAGAAACGACGTAACGATAAATGTTGGAAGTAATGCTCATGTATGGGCTGCAAATGGCTGTGTCCACGGATAGGAAAGATATGTTCATATGCCAGTGAATAGGCACCAACTAGGGGATATATGCCCCTCCTGACTTCCGCTTTACAACTAAAATAATATATTCAACTGGATACCCGTTTTGTAAGCAACGAGTGACATGTGTATTGCTTTTTGAGTTCCAAAATATCTGGGAAAATTATCTGACTAGTTCTCAACTGTGGAGAGATGCCGCTTCCTCTCCCCAGATGCTCATTCCCATAAAGAAAGAGACATTCACATTTCTTAAAAGCACAAACAACCCGACTGCAGTAACAAAAAAGAGTGAAGGAAAATTGTTTTATCAAGACGTATCTAACAAAACCACAAATGTCAAAATTTATAAGTTGTTTGGGTTGCAGCCGTCCCAAAGTTAGAGAGACATGATAAGTTAAGATAAATCAAGCCATTCAAGCTGTAGACCGTCGAATTAAAACCCACCGTTTTGATTTGATAAAACTTCAGCACAGTGCGATGAATAAGCCATTCGAACTAAGTGCCTGTAAGATTACTTCGAGTCTTGTATTGCAATGCAGGGAGGCTCTGGATTGCCTCGCGGCGAGGCATCCGGTATCGTTAATATGGGTACCGGGGCACGCTGGGATAAGGGGCAATGAGACGGCGGACACTCTGGCTAAGACAGCATCAGCCAGCAAGCTCGTTGGTCCTGAGCCAGCTCTAGGAGTGACCTTGCATAAAGCTAGGAGGAAAATGGAGACGTGGGTTGCAAGACAACACTCTCAGAAATGGAGAAGTATCTTCAGACATCTCCGCCAGGCACGAGAACTCATTGAATGGCCCAGTGCTAAGGGTGGACGCTTCTGCCTATCTCTAGATAGAGCCAACCTAAGGTAGCTGGTGGGACTGTTGTCTGGCCATAACACGATAAGGCGTCACCCATGTGATGGGGGTGGCTGAGGATCCCTTGTGTGAACGCTGCGGAGTAGAGGAAGAGACCTCGGCGCACGTTTTGTGACGCTGTGAAGCTCTGAGCTACTATAGGCAGACTATACTATACCATTACTTTGGACCCTCAGGACGTCAAGGAGCTTGGACTCAAGGCGATTCTCAACTTCGCTCAAAGGGCGAGGCTTGTGATCTAAGGATTGTAGAGGTGCCTAAGGGTCCCGCTTAAGCGGCCTATGCACTGGCTCCTTATGGTGGCCGGAATGTCTCAAGATTCATTCATTCGAGCCATTCGAAGGAGTATTAGACGTTCCGTGTTTCAGCACGTCTCCTCCTTACTCTTGCAACCGCCATCATGTGCGCCCAAACAGAATCTGGACTCGCTGAACACGACTGAGTTCCATTCCATAATCCATTCAAGTCACTCCCTACTCCGTACCAATCGTTGCCGACGATGGTGTGGAGTCAGAGGTAGTACAAAATGGGACGGTATGAAAATAGTCCAAAATGCCTTATTCGGCGATAAACTGTCCTCATTGTTATTGGCCTTCCGACATCACCAAACCACTGGTTCGGAACTGCCCTTGTTGTGGAAAATCGATTACTGAGTGCTAGTTACCTCAAATAGTGATCCCGTCGCTCTGTAGTCTGTCATTTCGAACCAACACAGAAAAATCACTGAATATTAATTGAAGATGTCCACATTGTTCGAACCCTTATATGACAAAAAAAGCATTTACAAAAAAAGTACGGCTTGGAATGCCTTCAAAATTTTATCAGTGTGTACTTCCAAGATAGCAAATATGTTTACAAGTTTCCATCAACGTTCAATAAATAATTATCTGTGTTGCATTTTATACGTTACTTAGGCCCGTATCGTCAGTCGTTCCTACAATTGTAGGGCGCGTTTATGGTCTCCTTGATTGTCATAGTTATCTACTTCTCCGTGACAGAACTCTATTTTGAGGTTATGTCACAAACATCTATTTGCATCAAATTGTGCTTGCTGTTGAGTTATATCATGTTTTATCAGCCTGAAATTTCCTACAATTTAAAAAGAAAACATATCTTCGCAATAGGAGAGCGCTGACGCTGACACGGGACGAGTGTAATCTAGAAATTTTTGAATGAGAGAAAGGTGTATGACAATACATGATATTCTAAAGACGGAAATGAATATTGAAGACAGGTTTTTAACATCTATTCATGTAAATATTAGGAGCATTAAGCATAATTCTTACAATTTTCCAGTAAAATTGCAATCATTTGATTTAAACTACCATAATATTCTTGTTTTAAGTGTTCCCTAGGACTAAAATCCAGTGTTCAGGAAAATATACATGAGCCATTTCATTGCCAAAACAACGCATGCGCTCTTCGAATTATTTGAAATCTACGAAGTGACAGAATACTGTAGCGATTCTCTAAGAAATGTTAAACGCAATCGCAATTCCTGTTAATCCTAGCATTTAAAGTCAATAATATTATCTTAATTTTATGATTTCTAGGTTTCTCTGAGGTTTTCCCCACAAATATGATAAACGTCGGGAATATGTTATCGATTTCTACTTTATAAAATTGATCAAAGTAAGCAACATCTAAGTATAATCCAATATTCTCGGAAGTTGTGTCACTGAATCTCAGGAGGCAGTAAAAGTCATGCGGAAAACACTACTTTGGAAAAAGTTTAACACCCTAATGCTTACAGACAGCTTACGCTGTAATCTAATATTTACGAGTGCTTGCCGGAATGAAAGCAACTACTAATATTTACAAAAAATAATTTATTAAATAAGACTTCAATAAATAACCTTGGGATTGAATCACAATGTCTTTAAGGCCTGCTTGTGGACGAAGTCGCATCGTTCTGGTAGTAAGCTGAGTAAGCCATGTTTTGCGCTTCCTGGGCCCCAGTCCACACCCTTTGGTAAGGTCCACCTTGGTTGGGCTCCCAGCCTGGCTCGTAGGAACTGGGGGTCGATGGTGGGGGTGCAGGGGCGCCGTACATGGGAGCGGGCTCCATTGGAGTCATCGACATTGGCATCATGGGCATCATACCTGGAAACGGAACAAACATACAGAATTTATAAATACCTTTCACTCCCATATCCTGCTTATATATGAGGGCATGGCAGCATTGTCAAAGGTCTTAGATATTCTAATGTTTGTAGAAGTGCTGGCATGGAATCCACGGAACTTAAACACCAGAACTCCATCTACCGTACTTGAGAAGACATGGCAACATAATGAAAAGCTTGGAAGCATACTGAGTATAGTCTAAACTACTCGACCAATATCTTACAAAATTTCAAATACATGGTTATCCAGTTCAACTGACTGGACGGTAATACCTAATCAACCATTTCATTGTTGCCTGTCAGATTGTAAATGCCCTAACTAAAATTTTATGAGTAGATCCTTAACCTTCATTTGTCTCGTTTAAAGCGTTTGATTGTAATCCAAAATGAATATGAAATTATGTGTTTCAGTTTCCATTGCATAAGTGGAAACTGTCTGTCCATTTTAGAACTACGACCTTGAAATGACTAGTAGGCTTCTAAACGTCTATGACTTGATATCTGGAAGTTTATGAGGCTAATGACTAAATATCACCATAAATGATTCCTAGTGTGGATGAACATTTCATTCATCTCTCTATAACATTTTTAGATGATCTACCAAGTTAGTCTATATAAAGTCTATAAATATTTGTTAGTCTGTACTTTGGATGTTATATTTCAAACTAACGTTGTACGTGGAAAAACTACCAAATACTTATCTTCGAACTTCTTTTGTACTTTCATAGCACAAGATGACGAAATTCAATAGCAACCTTGGCTTCACATTAGTGGTTGCTTAGATATGCAATAAATGATGCACCAAAAATAGTTATTAGTGGTAGCACGTAGTTTTTATAAGATACTTTTGGGTCATGGACTACTTGCTTGTGCAGCATTCACATTTTGTAAGTACAGGTATGTACATGATCTCAGGTTTTGATAAGAGCAGACGTGATAGAATCTCATGCTATTTCATAACGAAAATGATGTAAAGTGCTTTTTCAGATGAGCTGCATGTAGTATCTTTTAAATACACGTCATCCAAAAAAACGTGTGAAGAAGTGGCTAGGGTTGTGGTTCCTGGTGAATGATTTCTAAATATGCATAGAAACCATTCAAAAATGGTGTACCTGGCGGAAATGCTGATGTGTGTCAGCCTAATAATTCTGAATATTCGACATACATATCAATGTCGTTTCAATCTTTAAGTGCACTTTCTGATTTGTCCCTTATGGAACACTACCAGAGAATAAAAAAACTTTGGTATATTCTAAGTGTTTCAAATCACTTTAGTACCCTGAAGCCTACTCCAAGTCATTTTACCATAAAGCCTATTGACATTATATTCATCTAATAACGTTTTTGTAAGGGCTACTTCAAGGTCGATGTTAATTTGGAATTATAATTACATATTGTTAGTGCTATCGACATAGTCCGTTCTATTTTGTACGGGCTGCTATTTCAAAGAAGTTTCTCATGACCTGTCAACTTTTCTGCGTATTCAAGAGCCATGAAAATCCTTCATTGTAGAAAGTAAGACACATATACCTTGCATAATAGGAGCAAAATCCGGAAATGTTATGGCATAGACAAAGTGGAAAATCATTTTGACGTATTTTTGTAGCACTTTTGCTAAGTTCACTTACCTGATTTACCAAGATACTGGTATGCAATAAATCCAAGGACAATCAGAATGGCCAATTTGCTGAGAATCAGAGCCTTTGTAGCTTTGAGTCCGATCAGGGCAAGGAAAATTGGCATCAGCAGCTTCATCTTGAGCTTGAATAGCAGCAATAACGGGAACAGAAGCTTTTTCTTGAGACCGAGAGCTCTAGCTGGAAAGGGTCACTACTATTGAAATATCCGTAGCATACAAAATTTGGTATGATCCGTGTTAGAAGCTTTTGCTCGTCAGGACCGGAATTTAGATTCCATCTAAAAACTCTTTTGAGTAGGTCTTGATCTCCTCACTATATGTGGAAGCTGGTGTGACGTAACCGCTACGTTTTAACGTGTGTCGCGCTCATTGAGTCTTCTTATTGATTTCTACATAGTCTTTTATTGTTTGTCTTACGTTTATCTCCTATGCAAGTAGTTTTCTGGAGCTGCTAATTAATAACTTATTATGCTTCCTCAGGTAACTTAGACTTAAAACAAAATTATAGATTATACCGCACACATTTTATGCGACATTAGTTAATTAATTTCACGCGATTTATATAAGAGAGAATGTTCAGTTTTTTACATTTGAACTTAGGAGATCTTGCTTAGGATGTATGAATCGGCTCTGCATTCTGACTTTGTCTTTTATTTTTGAATCTTATGAACGAACATTATGATGACGGGTCCGCATCTAGTAGTTTCCGTTAAGTTCCTGCAGAATTAGACCATTAACCACATTATTCGAAAAACTAAGATATTACACAGGCGGATGAACACTTTACCCACCGCAAGGTAGTGAAATTCTATGGACATTTTTTGTTTTTCGATGATATCTTCTTTAACAGCAATTAGTTGTATTAAGCTAGCCGTAAATATTGTATTATTAGTCTAGGAGCAGTTACTAAGTACAAAACAAAACATAAATCTTTCAGAATTTCTTCCAACTAGGAATAGCAGCTACTTCATTTATTTTTCAAAAGCATGCTATGATATTTTGAGTTCCTCTATTGTTAATAGGAGAATACTGCCCGACAAAATTGCATAGGTCCCTTCAACACCAAGTTTGTGAAATTATTTTTGAAAACAGTCAACTTAATCATTCATTTTCCAATATTCGTTAACCATTTCACTGAAAATCCTTCCACATACTCACACTCATCTTCGGTAGCTTTGCTGTCGATATCCAGACCAGTCTTGGGGTTGTACACGATCTCGGTTTTCTCCATCAATACTTCAGGTACCTGCACCCTGAACTCATGTGTCTGGATTACCCTTGCGACTCTTTTGAAGATTGCAGCATCTATATTCTATTGAGTTAAATGCATGTATTAGAAATTCAGTTTCACATATTGAATATTTATGCCACTTAAAATACCTATATCAGTCGAAGCGTAATCAACTTATGGAGTATGCGAGACGAAAACCTCGTATCCGTCTTTTCCGACCCGGTGCAAATTTATTTAATCCATGTGATTAAAGAAATTAGAAATCGTTTTTCTTCTGCTCCGGTCACTTTTTTACGTCTTTTGGATAATTTTGGGAAAAATGCTATACAGTAACTTCTCCCTTAAGCTTACTATTTTGAGTTATAACCGATTTTGGACATTTGAAATTTAAAAACGCTTTGCATTCCCAACAACAATAATTTTTAACCGACTTTTAATGCACTAAATATAACGATGCGAGGTTTTTGCCTAGCCTACATAATATTCAAGAAAATATAATGTTTTTTTTTCGCTTATGCAAGACATTTCTCTAGCACATCAAAAATCTGACTAGCCTAAGGTGAGCTTGTGCCGTCTTTTTTGGGCCACTTTTTTGCAAAAGGTGCTGAAAAAGATTTCCTTGATTAATTTGTAAAGCGATACCCCATAACTTTAGTATTCCCAAATGTCTCCATCGTATACGTAAAAGTTATACAAAAAGTACAGCAAATCACCACAAGACATGTTTTTTAGAATAAAGTTTCTTTTTGGAAAGATTCAAAAAGGCTTCATGGAATAGAATACCTCGATATTTTCAAAAAATAATTCCATCTGTATTTTTTTAAACAGAGTAGGCATTTGGATATAAGAGAGGGAGTGACATGACTTAGTGAAATACACTTTTTTTGTCAGCGAAAGTAAACGAGTTATGCCCGGTATCGGTACTAAGTTCGTTGATTGATTTACCTACCACATGCATTGGAAACCTGGTACGAGTTGGTTAACTTTGTACCAGAATTTTCCATAACGTTTATATGAATTCTCAATCTTTCTTGTAATCTAAGTTTGATATATGGCACTTCTGTTATCTTATATATTGCAAAGCTTTATCAAATTATTGCACAGTAATAGTCAAAAGTTTTCATCAGTTAGCAAGCCAGAATTAATGTGCCTGGTAGTTTATATTCGCTATTACACTTGCTATTTTCTTTACCATTTTATTTATCAGTTATTTTACTCGTCTAAGTACTATCTTCATCGCGAACATAAAAATTAAAATAGATCAGTAGCTCTTCACCGGAATCAAATTGTGAAATACTAAAGCCTTTTTTTGTTGTTTGTTACTTCTAAAACGCCTCCCCCAAATACTCTTGAGCCAATTGAGACAACATAGAATTAATCTTTTGCGTTGTTGAACAATTGAAGGCGATATGCCATATCATCAATACTCATCCACTCATGTCACAATGTCATCACCCACTTATCACACTAAACATCACCAGCACCTTAGCACTCCTGGCATCTGTCTGGATGTTGAGCAGGCTATCGAGGTACTCCAGGACCCTCTCCTTGACGCAGCCCATATCTCCGCACCGCTCCAACACCGTATTGACCAACTGCTCGCTAGTTCTGGGGGTGCCCACCCCTTGGGCAGATGCCCCTAGGGCTGCAATCGCGATCAGCAGGGACAACCTGAACAACATTTCGATGGAGTGAGGATAATGATAATGAGCGGCGTGGGCGCGGTTATATATCACTCAGTGATATGGGGGTCAGGGGACGCACCACTGGTGAATTTGTAATGACGACAATCAGCGGCGTAGATGCGTCGATGATGTATTACAATGTTTAGCCAGTCATGGTCTATACACAGATATCATGGGGAAGTTTCACATTCCTTTACAATGTTACAACAATTTTTATGTAAAGCTTTGGGATCCTATTTAAGAGCTGTAAGGAAGAACACATAAATTGGGATTAAACTGCAATTTGTTACAACTCCGTGCAAAAAAATCCAGACTACTATTTGTAGACCGCAATAAGAATATTTTTCGAGAGGAAAAGCTTTAAAATGTCAATTTTGATTTAATAAGTATTCTACTACTAAAAAGAGATCACCCGTGGCACTTTTTGGAAAATCGATAATTAACACGGAAACTAAATGCACAAGTTCTCTCCATTTTGATTCGTAGATAAAAAATGCTAGATGCGAGCTATTCCACGCCTTCTCAAACTGGAGCGTTAATGTTAGAATTACAAAAAAAAACAGCCACATTACGGAGTTGTGGTTCGGAAAATATGTATCGCTTGAAACCTTGACTATCATGTGAGGAACAAACAAAAAATGACGTCAAGTAAGTAGACTCTGGACTTCCCACGCAACACTTTCATAAACTCATCAAATCCCTCTGAGCTAGCTACAGTCATGTATAACAAAAAGCTTAAATCGATCATGTCAACCAAACAGGCGCATACATCCAGTCTATACTCCACTGTCCTCGTCCATTTGATAACGCTAATGCTAGTTTCTGTCCTGTCCTAAAGTATTAACCATTTGTCAACGATGCTGAATCACACCAGACAACCATGCGCGCCAGCCCCGATACTATAAGACCAGATCGTGAACGCCGGCGATACAGTCAGATATACACAGATTTTATTGCACGAAGGTTGTCATCATCCCGGCCGAACACGTGTCACCCCTGTAAATATTTTCCCAGGATTTAAGGGCAAATGTGCAGGGAAATCTAGCATGTGCGGAATATCTACCAGTAGGTAAAATTACCCGAATTAGAAGCCTATAAATATAATGAATCCAAAAAAAATGAGACATAGCCCCTTTCACTTGAGCCTCTGAAACGTCAAAAACAAAGTTTGAGCGATTTTTATTATTCTCGTTTTTTGCACTTCACATCGCCGCCACTGCACAAATTTTCAAAAACCACAAGTCTTTTTCCTCCTTGTTAGTTATTGACGGACCAATGATTAGCTGACAGACAGACAAACAGACCAAAAGACCGGCAGACCGGCCATTGGACTTCATATATAACAATCAATTCATCTATGGTTGTCTGTTAGCAGTACTTGCATAGCTTTAAAGATACAACCGTTAACATGTGTAAGCTATCACGAGAAAACTCATCGATACACTTGTGGACACTTTAGCATTGTGTATAGTAAGGCTAAAAATTATCTGATGAAAAAACAACCCGTTAGGCATGTTGGAGTTTGTGGCTTAAAATACTTGAGATCTGCAGATTGTATTGAGAAACTCAATATACGTTTTTTATTGCACTACCATTATAGTTATTATGTCTTATCTATTGATAGCATTCTAACCCATTTCCTTTGAAAATGAGATTCGCTCCATTCTGCAATCCATAGTTATGGCGTTATTTCTTCAGAGGCAGCTGCGTTTACACTCTCTGTTGCTAACCAATGTTCTATATGTATATACAACATAGTTTCAGATAAGTATGCTGTTCAGATAATATAAGAATTTTGCAAAACTTTTGGCTCCTTAATATCATTACTCTCGATTGTTTCGAGTGGTCTTACGCCCTGCCGCTTCGCTTTTTCCACGCAGAAGCAGGGGACGTACCATAACATCAATGGTTTTCAAATTTGTGTCCTGAGAAGTACTCGTGCTACTTTTGAAAACCGATGCAATGTAGGAGGATGTAAGTTTCAAAGAATGTCTGATAAATTCTGAAAACGGGTATGTTTGAATCCAATCCCATACTTGGCGCCATTTTTTCCTTTTGTTCTTTTCAATGGAGCTTTATATTCCTCTTTTTAGGTATTTGATCTGAGACTCCACATTGTGTTAAAGTATTCAGGCATCTATGCTTATGATCTGAAAGCTTTGAATGGAGTTAAGCCCACCTAATAGGTTCATATAAGCCATCACAACACGATTGTCACGCCACTGGCATCACAGATAGTGCATAAATCATTTCGATACCTCCTTCTCCCTGCTATCAACTACGACCATGCGTTCAGCCAAATTCTTGGGAGCGTAGTGTCTTCATTATTATGGTTTTGTTCCGCTAGAGGATCCGGAGATACTCCATTAGTATGCATCGCTGGATGCAGGAAAAGCGCGCCTTCACTTTTTAAATAGCGGGTGTGAGCGGAATTAGGTCTTCCATTGATAACTGTTTAGTCGCAAGGAATGTGCGGAGACCCTTTATTTGGTGGATATATTATAATATCCGTGTATTGATAACCGTGTTTTTTCTTTTGTTTTCAGACATGAGTCCTTGTTGTATCAATTTGGTGACCAAGAAGTGGGTATTAGAGACAGTGTAACCACTGAAAGTATCGCTAATCCCGGCTATTCTGATCCAGCTTAGTGGTGACACAGCAAAGCACCATCTATCATACCAAAATCGACCACTGCAGAAGTCGCATATCAGCTGTTAGTTGGAATTGCTAGGTATCTCAGCTCACGTTTAATAGCCCAGTCAACACGTGACCGCTAGATGGCTGACGATTCCGGCTGTAAAGTAGGTGTTGTCTACTTGTCATTGAATGATCAGCATAGCAGTGCTAACGGGCGCTTTCAAGATTTCCCGAAATATGTAATTTCTGGATACCTTCCAATGACGGGATCGATAGTCCCCAGAATCAACTGAATCTCGTCTAGTAGCAACTTGGTCCTTTAATTAAGGATAAATGTATTTTTATATACATATATGGGTGCGATATTAGGAGCCAGTTCAGGTAGACTGGTTTGCCAAATATTGCATTAAGAGTCTACAATATGAGCATTTTTAAGCTCTAAAGACGAAAGATACTGAGTTACTGATGATTATTCAATTACTTCTTAATATCTGATAATATTAATAGCTAAGAATTAATTATAACTTTGGAATAAATAAGAAACTCTAATTTCTACAGTAGTATGTAGAATGGCGTTCCAAATTGCAGCGCGATCCCTCAACTGCAACAATGACAATTTAAATTAAGAAGTAATTATTTGTGCAGGTAAGAGACATCGCTTCAATATGGCAGTCCTCCCTACAGGTCAACAGTTGCAGATATGATAGTTTATAAAAAAGTTATGACTAACTCATAACTCATGTTTGTTTTCATTGATTGTATTTTGTTATAAAAAATATTTTAAGAGTATAATAACAATAAACTATATTTTTTGTGCAGAATCTGATTATAGTCATTAATAGAGTTCAAAAGTATTCATATATAATTGATTAATCAATTAATAAAATACTGATGATAGTTACCTTTTTTATAACTCTAAGAGAATTCAATATTTGTTATCTTCATTGATTGTGAACATAATATATTAGATCAATGTCTATCAATTATTTGTCTGATTGTCTAGAAACTCTACATCAAAATGAACTCCCTCTTTTAAATTCAGAAAATAGGGAGGAAGGGATACCTGAGACTGAATATTTGATCATGTGTACTTTTATTTCCGCTAATAAAACAGAATTGGACTCACGTACATTCAATGCATGTACATCCATAAGTAAATTCAACATCACTTCAAACAAAATAGGATATTTTAAAATACTACAAATTCTGCACCAACTGAAGACTTCCTATATATATATATATATATATACATATATACCTTACACAATATTCGCACTGAAGCATTCAACATACATCACTGACGAAACAGGCTTTTATGGTTGAACTATGACATCAAAAACATGTCCATGCGTCGATATCCAGTTCAGTAAAGGGCATATATTGGAATTGTTTCAAAAGAATACCATTAAGGCCCAATTTCACCAACAACAGTCCGTTATTCTCCACCTATAGGGTAACAGCCCGTCAGATACAGCGAATGAGTTCCAATCAACAAATTTTAGCAACCAATAGCTATGAAATGTTGAAGACAAAATACTGTCAAAATATGAGATGACAACTTGTCATTGAAACATCACCAGCTTATTGAATATTAAGAAATTACATATAATTCAGTCAAAATTTTAAGAAATGTTTAATTACTATTGTTGATTTTTTATTCATGTTTATATTATTTTCTTCAATTGATATTTGATACTGGGTGTTTTTTCCTATAAAACTCTTGCAGATGGCCATTAAGCACCTACTTGATGACAGACTCTACCAAAAGATATTGCTCGTTTCCAAACATTCATTCATTTACTTGCCGTTCATCAGAACCATTATGGCACCTTAGATTGATTTTCCCACAAAACCGTTCAGGTTTTTTGATATCCATACATCCATAAAGTTGAATATTTTTCATTGTTCAGGAACTGAACAAACATCCACACTATATTCACAGCGATTACTAAATTCCCAAATATACGCCTTAAAGCTACCATCAAACCTAAAACTTGCAAAAAAAACTACAAATTTGCCATATTTTTCTTTTTTCACGAGTACACATTCTAGGTTATATTTATATTAGACATTATTTGAATACAGCTGATTATTGAATTTCAAGGAGTGACACATGTGTGGGATCTGTCAACTCTTGGTACCAGTCACAAAACATATACTCTTAAGGTTTAATTCCATGCTATTCAATGACAACACGGTGTTTTGTGTTTGTGAGCGGCCATTTTTTGAGGGTGCGACAGAGTTGCCAGATTGTGCATTAATATCCCGTTTCACCCTCCTGGTCCCAATGGAGTAAGTTCCGCCAACTGTTGAAATATAATCTATTATGCTTTATAAGACTATTCGTGACATTTTTCCCAAAATCA